AAAAGAAATTTCATTTCGGGGAACGTGCGTGACGCGCAGCGGAAAGGGAAGCGGCAGCGATTTCGCGGAGTCGCCGCGTCTCCCGCACGTTGCATCCTCTAATCAATTCCGTGTCGCTGCTTTCAGCTCCGACGACGACTTCGTGATAAACGATTTCGTCCATCCCTCCGATATCGGCCGGCCGGCTCGAAGTCGGTTATATATAATTATATATAACCGAGTTATATATAATTATATATTATATATAATAATAAAATATCAAACAAGTAAAACAGGTAATTTATAATATAATATTGTAATGAAGTAAAATATATAGAAAAAAAGTATTATAAATGCATGCTGTTATAAAAATCAATTCCTAATCTTTAATACTGTATTTTATATTTACAAGTTGCATACAATTTTGTAGAAAATGCCTGGCTGCTGCGTATCTAATTGTTTTAGTAGTACGGAGAAAGGTTTTTCGATGAAAAGTTTTCCATCAAATATGAATCGGAAAGCGATATGGATCGAAAATATCAATATGTACAATGGCAATATCCATCAATCCTCAAAGTGGCAACCAACTAAAAACTCATTTGTATGCGAAGTAAGTAATAATTTGTATGATTAAAAATAGAAATATAACAATAATCTTGAATAATTTTTGCAGATCCATTTTTCTGCAGAAATGTGGGAAAAAGCACAAGTGGATGGAAAAAAAATTAAAAGCCAATGCCATTCCAACAATTTTTTATCCTCCTAAAAATAAAGACATTCCAGTAGAAAGAAATGTACATGTATGTATCGGTTTTAACTATAGGTTTTAATAGGGCCATTGTAAAGTAAATTTTTAAACAAAGGTTTAAAGTAGAAAATTGTAAAAGTTTCAATTTTTATAGATTTATGACGATGATACAGCACAAACCACAAATAATATTCTTGAGGTTTCTTCAAATGATGTTCTTGAGGTTCTCTCAAATGATGTTGACATTCCTTCTACAGCTTCATCAAAACAACTTTTCACAAGCATGAATACTAATATAGTTCATGATGCAAAAAGATTACAAAAAAATGATAATGATATTATGACAAGTTATAATAACACTGTAGAAGAATTAAAAAGGAAATTAGATGAAACAAACAAAAAACTAGAGAGAGCAGATACCATTATCCGTAAAAATTTGTGGAAAAACAAAATTCTTCTGAAGCGTTTACGACATTCAAAAAATTCTACTAAGGTACATACTGGACCGAGATTTTCTTCAGCAGATTTGTCGCATAAAATATTTCATAAAGATCAGATAAAATATCTTAAAGCTAAATATGAAGGACGTCATATATATAAGTGGACAGATGAAACAATTAAAAAGGCATTACGGCTCAAACATGCATGTGGGGACAATGGATATAGGGAATTATTACATCAATCTTTTCCTTTACCTTCAACTCGTACTCTGCGCAGACGCATGGAATGCATTACTTTTAAAGATGGAATTTGTGACGATGTTTTTGAATTGTTAAGGGAAAAGGTATCAAGCTTTCCAGATGAACGACATAAAGATTCAATGATTTGTCTTGATGAGATGAGTTTAATACCAGGTGAACGAATAGATCCCTGTACCAATCACACTATTGGATATGCTACAATTCTTGATAAATTTGGTAAATCCTAAATCGAAATATTTTACATATTACACATTACATGTTTTTAAATGTGCGATTTCCACATTGCTTATCACTTTAATTTGTTTATTTGCATGTTTGCATATACATTTTTAGGAAAAATGCCTTATGCTACGCATAGTTTGGTATGCATGATTTGCGGTATATTTACACGGTGGAAACAAATTGTAGCCTACTATTACACTCCTGACGGATTTAATGGTGCAATTTTAAAAGAAATTATTCTTAAAATAATTGAAAAAGCTGAAAATGTAGATCTTAAAATTCATAGCATCACATCTGACATGGGAGGAATAAATCAGGCTATGTGGAAAGCTTTCGAAAATATATCTACAAGCAAATTTTCCAAAATTAAAAACTCAGTGCCACATTCGCTAGATAACAGCCGAAAACTGTTCTTCTTTGCCGTTGCTCCACATCTCTTAAAAAACCTTCGCACTGCTTTGGTAAATAATAAAATTATAATATTGCCACAGAATTTTGTAGAAATGTATGAACTTTCTTCATGTATTGTTAAATGTTCACATGTCGCAGAATTAGCGGCTGAACAAGAAAATTTCAAATTAGCATCAAAATTAGATAGTCAAACTGTTACTATTACTAATTTTAACAAAATGAGAGTTAATAAAGCAACCGCTTTGTATAACAGAGATGTTAGTAGTGCATTGCGATTTATATCAGAAGAACGTAATTATCAGAAGAACGTAATATAACCGAGTATAAAGTAACCGCTTTATTTATTGAAATTGTATCAAAATGGTTCAATATGATTACTTCTCGTACTTCTTTAATTGCATTAGGAAGAATAGAAGCAGAAGAAAAATCACATAAGAAATTTGATGATAGTATAAAGTTTTTGAAATCAGTTATTGATCTGTTTTGCAATATTCAAATCGGACAAGATAGAAAATTTAAACCCGTACAATGCGGTATTATGCTCACTACTACATCTTTCATAGAATTAACAAATTATTTAATTAATGAACGGGCATATTTACATGTATTGGGCGCAAGATTTACACAAGGCTGTGTTGAAAATTTATTTTCAAACATACGAAAGAAATTTTCTATGTCCAATGCATTGCAGTTTAAACAATGTTTAAAAATCCATAGCGTTTCACAATATTTACAAGTTGTTCCAAACACTAATTACGAACAAGATGAAGGTCCTCTTCTTGTTAATTTCTTAAAAAAACGTCAAAAAGATAAGAATTGTAACATATTGTGCGAAATTCCCATAATTCCTGCTTATGTTGATAAAATACAAATTCATATGGATAATGCTTACTTAAATGTATTATATTCTCTTGCTGGTTACATTATTCATAAAATTTCTAAGTTGCCCACAGTTTGTAAAACTTGTATTGCTTCAGCTGGATCAAAAACATTTGATGCCAATATTAAATATTTGAAATTAGTATATTTTAAGTGTTTTAGATCATAAATATTATTTTTTGTTAACACAGCAACTTACAATTACTTTTATGAGATGGAAGTAATAAGAAGATATCTACCTTATATTCCCTTATAGAAATATCATACTAAGAATCATTGATAATTACTTATTATCCAGTATTTTTAATACTGAAAATAAGTAATTATCAATGATTCTTAGTATGATATTTCTATAAGGATTAAGAATAAAAATTATAATGTAGTAACAGTTTTAACAGAAAAGATGACTAACATACGTTTTGATGCGTTGGGAACTTGTTGTAATTTGTTCAACAAAATAATGAAACGCTTTATCAGATTTCGCATAAAAATTGATTGCAAGAAAGGACGATTAAAAAATAAAATTTTCAGTAGTAAAACTATGGCGATGCATTCTACTATTAAATAATATTATATTATTTTGTATTGCATTTTTATGTAAATAAAACTGTTAAAATCAAATTTGTTTTCTTATTTTAATCAATTCTTCTATTCTTATTAGTTGAATAATACCGCGCATCCAATATAATTTCCGAACACCTTATTGGTTCCGCCATATTTTGTCGACACCAATAGAATACAAGACAAGACTGTCCAGACTCTTACTATAGGGTTTCTACTACCAACGCTGTCGACACACCACCTCGGAAGCGACAGCGTTGGTAGCGCGAAGTTATGACGTAAAACGCTACCTTCCGTGACGTCATGATAGCGTTGATAGCATTATCAACATAGTTTCCCGAACGCACCCTATACCTACTTACAAAATTTCTTGAATATTTGAAAAGTCATTTTCGTCGAATATTCCATAAAACGCACATAATATTATTCAATTATAAATATTCCAGGTTAAATTGCAGAGAAGATTCATATTCCATTATAGGAATAATGATATTGGAATATTCATTTCATAATATTCGTATAGAAGATTTATAGGTCTTTTCACGAATATTATGTGCTGGCTGGGTATATAAGATTATTTTTCGAATATTCCAATATATAAGATTTTTGAATATTTCAAAAATTACATTCGAGTAATATTTCATACAAAATACATAATATTATTTAATTACAAATATTCCAAGTACCATTACAGAGAAGATTCATATTCCTATAACAATATTAGAATATTTATTTCAGAATATTTCTCTAGGACGATTTATAGTATTTTCCGGAATATTCTGGGATAATCTGTGTTGGCTGGGAAGTAATTTTAAATTTCAAGTAAAGTCAGCAAACGTTGACTGGTTTTTTAATTCAACCAATTCGCCAATATTTGTAAAAAAGTGGAACATTTAGCGCCTATTTGAATCTTCCTTGAACATTCTATGAATATTCCGGAATGTTTTGCGACATTCTTGGGATGTTAATTTTGGATTTGTGGAACA